GAGAAAATTTGAACAATACTATCAACTAGCTTGACCTACGTGACATTTATAGAACACTATACCTAACAATAGGAGAGAAACACATTATTTTCAAGAGTACACGGAACATTCACCAAGATAGACCATATTCTGGCCTATTAAACAAGCCTAAACAAATGTTTAAAAACTGAAATTGTACAAAGTATATTCTCTGACTATAATGAAACTAAATTTGAAATCAATAACAGAAAAATTTGAAAAAAATTGCCAAATATTTGGAAATTGAAAAACATACTTATAAATAACCCATGTGTTGGCAAACAAATATAAGGGAAATTAAAGAACATACTGAACTGAGTGATATAAAATAAAGCAATCAAATTTATGGGATGTAGGTAAAGCCATACTAAGCACATATCAGGGGGAAAAAAAGATTAAAATCTATTAAAGAAACTTTCACCCAAGTAGTAGAAGAAAGGAATACTAATGGTAAGAGCATAAATCAACATAACAGAAAAAGACAAATAAGAACATTGCTCACGAAGAACGATGAAACCAAAAGCTGGTTATTTGAAAAGATTAGTAAATCTGATAAACTTCTAGGCAAACTGACCAAGAAAAAAAGAAGACACAAATTTCCAAAATCAGTAATGAAAGAGAAGATACCAATACCTATCTTACCGATAATAAAATATAACAAGGAAATGTTAAAAACGAATTGATGCCAATAAATTTGGTAATTTCAGTCATATAACCAAATTATTTGAGAGATATGTATCACCAAAACAGATGCAGGAAAAATAGAAAATCTGAATCTACTGTCTATTAAATTATTTGAATTTATAATTAAAACCTTTAAACAACCTAACACCTCCTGGCTCAAATGTCTCCTCTATTGAATTCTATCAAACATTTAAGGAAGGACTAGTATGGATTTTACACAAACTTTTTTAAACTAGAGGAAGATAAAACATTTTCAACTTACTTTACGACTCTAACATTATCCTGATCCCAAATCCCGACAAAAACATAATAAAAGAAAATGACAGACCAATATCCCTCACAAACATATAAGCAAAAGACTTTACCAAAATAATTGCAAATAAAATCAGGCAATATCTAAAAGGGCAATCCACCATGAACAAGTGGGGTCATGAAATTAATCTATTATCATGGTAAATAGCTGCCAGGAGAGCTGAGGTTACAGGGCCACCAACCAACCCAAACTCTAAGGAAAGGCCAGTGTCTTGAAGGACATGGAGGACTTGAGCACCACGGGAAGACAGTACTCAATCCCAGCAAGAACAATTCTGCTAAACTGTTAATGAATTGCTAAAGGCTGAGTGTGTGCTAGCAAGAAAACACACAACCCATGGAGGCCACAAACACAAAGGGAAGGCACACCCATTCACAGGCTCTTCTTCACAGACCTCATCAGGCGCGCACAAAAAATGACACGGTGCACACGCACAAAGACTGGGCGCAGACTGAGGGGCCTCAGAAAGTATCGCTCACGGTGCAGGCTTCGGAGAGGAGAAGAGCAGCCACTGACAGAAAGGCGTGAAGTCCAGCCTGAACCCCTTCTCCTATCTCTAATACGGGGGAGGGGGAGCTCAAACCACTGAGGGAAGTGCAAGGACCCTATCACTCCAGAGCTCAGGGAAGGAAACAGCAAAAAGCTCTATACCCTAAGGGAGGAAAAGGAATTCGTCCTCCCGCGGGAGTAGGGGAGGGACATGGGGAAGTCCTCTTTCCTGAAAGCCCGGACACAGCGGCTGCCCAGTCTATCATGGTGGTTAGGTTGCTGTAGCCAATACAATAATGGATCCAGGCAGAAAAGGCAGCAATATGGGAAGTACAGGCTTGACTACCCAAACTCTCTGACTGGCAGCTACAATGTTTCCATAGTTTGCAGCCCCAAAGAGAGATGTTTTTAATCTATCTTCCAAGTGGCACACCTGAAGCCTAGTCTATTGGCAATGGCCCAAGGGTCAGTAAAAATATAACAACATTAACCAAGGGGAGTACTGGTCAGAGCTATGGGAATGGAGTGGAGTGGTCACATGCACTGTTTCCTACAGCTGGCACTGATGTTCAACAGCTTTTTCTTTGGCTGCACCATCAGTGAACCAGGTCCAGGGATTTACAGGAACTTCTGTGACTCGAGGGCCCCACTAAGCCAGTGGCTTGCTTAGGTGGTGTAGTGAGAGGCAAGGTCTTCCCCAAAAGGGGTTGCTTCCACCTCTTCATGCAAAACCAAGATGACACAAAGGCCAGGCTGGCTGCACCCCTGGACAAACCATTTTCATTTGATCAATGAAGCCTTTCCTTGTTAGCCATCGAGTCTGAGTTTAACCTACCCCAAAATGGTGATATTGGGCCAGAGAGTCCCAAGGCATCTATGGGTCAGGTGTTTCATTTTAATAAGACCTTAGCAGCAGGCCTTTTCAAAAGAGGTGCACTTGGTAGCTAGGTCAGGCAGGTGGCACTGCTGTACTAAGAAATGGCCTGAGCACTTTAACAGCCACAAAGCCTTTAACTAAAGCTTTGGTTTTCTGTTCTTTCCTCCTGGGATGATACATCATGCTAGATCAGCCAGGGAGGGGACATGCGGCAGCCCATGAATGGAAGAATCTCCTGTGAACTTAGAAGCATTCACAGTATAAGCACGTAAAAAACGTCAATACCAAATATACATTTGCCAGAGGAAGTCAGAAAAGTACACTGAATAGGCCCAGAGGCTCCACCCACACTTTAGCTTTTCTTGAATCTGAGTAGTTTCCTCCCTGCAGGAACACAGACCAAGAAATTGAACACACACACTAAAGGGACTATAGCCAGAGCTGCCAGGAGACTACAGGATTCTCTGACCAGGGGCACGGGGCATACAGGGCAGTGGGGGAGGCCAGCCTGCTCAGGAGGGCTGCGGTGGTGGGAGGCTTTTCTGCTGCTTGGCTCCTAAGCCCAGGGTCTGGGGGGGGGGGGGGGGGGGGGGGGGGGGGGGGGGGGGGGGGGGGGGGGGTAGCTTCCTCCTCCGTACCTCTGAGCTCCTGCAAGTGCCTGGGCCGATGACGGGCTCTTAATTTGCCTTTGTGCACGCTGCTAGAGCTCCACCCTGCCGTCCTCAGTGCCTTCAGCCTCCCTTGCTGCACTGAGCTGTATATCTAACAGAACTGTAAAGTCTGAATTCCTCCCCCTCCTTGTGGTTCCCATCCACACTTGGCTTTTATCTTAAGCAGCCGAGGTTAGAGCAGAGGGGAAGAGAGGAGTTAGAGGGCACAGAGGGAAAGAGTAGCTCTGCACCGATAAGCAAGACTTTGCATTTATATTCAATTTCAAGTGTCTGCCTACTTGGACTCAACAAATGAACTTAGAATGTATTCAGTCTACCCAAAGCTCTGCATCCTACACAAAGCTTCTGTGAAGTCCATCCAGGAGTCGAAATATAATGATGTATACCTGAAATTTATATAATGTTATAAACCAATGTTACCTCAATAAAAACAAAACAAAACAAAAAGCTCTGTATCCTCGTTGCCGACACCTTTTATTTCAGCTCTGGGGAGCCTTTGATTCAGCAGCTACAGCCATACTGCCTTTTGCCTCGGGCCCAGATGCTTGCTGCCTCATTGATGTAATAACATTCTTTCCTCCTCCAGCCTAGAGAGTGAGCAACAAGCAAAGCACCATTCGCACAGCTTCATTTAATTCTACCTCTCACTGCTCAGCCTCTAAAAACTAATTAACAGGTAAGTCATTCGGGGATCTTCTAGCCCATCACTTCAACAAGAGCATTTGCTACTGGAGCTCATATCCCCTAAACTGGCCCATAAGGGCCATTTTCTTTTCTCTTGCATGAAGCCATGTTTCTGTCAACACTACGTCCTTTGCCAAAATTGTCAAAAACTGTGCAAGGTCTAGGATTTTACCCTACTTGTAAGCTACGAAGCTAGGCTGTTTCTGTTACGGATGCTGGCAGAAGTCACAGGATGCCTGAGTCAGAGGCAAAGGACTTTATTACTCTTGACAGAGCAAGCAGTATGAGGATCGTGTCAGTGACAGTTCGCCCTCCCCTCCGAGTCGCCCTGGCAGAGGGGCCTGGGGGACACTCTGTATATAGTGGTTTGCGTCAAGGCCAAGGAACACTGAGCTCGGAAAATTTACTATTTTCATAGCAAGCAGAATCAAGTCTGCTCTTTGTCTGGGGAGTTATTATTGCATCCCTCAAGGTTGCTACCTTCAAACATAACCCAGAGAAAGGGACTGGGTAAAGAGCAGTCCGGTGTTTGCCTCCCTGGCATACCCAGCAATACCCAGCATGCCCAAGGACATTCAGGATGCTCAGGTCCCGTGGCAGCTTGCTTCTCACAACGCACTCCTGACAATCTAATACCAGAGGTCCTAGGCAGGACAAGAAGGCAAGAGAAGAAGTAAAAATCACACATACTTCAAGAAGTAACCTGTCTCCATTTGCAGACAACACTAATCGTCTATATAGAAAATACCATGGAATTCACAAAAAAATTCACAGGACTAATATATGAGTTTAGTAAAGCTGTAGGACTTGAGGTCAATACACAAAAAACAATTGTATTTCTATACGTGAAAAATAAACAATTGGAATTCTGTTTTAAAAAATTACATGCTACATCAATAGCACTAAAACAATGACATAATGAAATAATGAGGCACAAATCTAACAAAACACGTGCAGGATCTACAAGTTAAATATTACAAAACACTGATAAGTCAAAGACCTAAAAATGAGAGAGACACCATGTCCATAAATTGGAAGACTCAATATTGTTAAGATGTCAAATTCTCCCCAAATTGATCCATAAATCCTCTGCAAGATCGATAAAAGCACAGCAGGACTCTGTGTGGACAGTACTACCCCTAAATGGGGACCAGAAGGTAGCAGTGACTGGAGATAGACTGCTTTATTTTACTAGCACAAAGTCATCAGTGAGTACAGCCTTTAACTATTATTAACAAACTCTTAAAATGCATCCATTTTCCCAAATGGATGCTCCAAGTAGTACCATGGAAATTACTGAGTCTATAGTGGAACTCTCCCATTCTCTGGCTCTACACACAAAGAATGGCAGCCTTCTTACAAAACCATTATGTGTCTAACTAGTTTCAGTAATACACTACTAGTTCATAGACAGCCATTCAGCTACATCTCCCACCAGAACACACAATTCATGACAGCACAGAAAAGAGGATTTACCACAGCTTTGTTAAATATACAACCTAGTTCTTCAATTGACTTGATTTGAGGACACAGAAATCAATTTTATTCTGTGTAATAACCTACAATAGGAGAATTATGAAAAGAAAATGAAGCAACAGGAAAAAAGAGAAACGATTGTGAAAAAAAGTACAAATACGACATAATTCTTTGATAGAAATATTAGAGGAAAATATTAACCAAATCCATAATCTTTAAGGATACAAAGAGGGAAATAAAGCAGTCAAAACAGCCAAAACATTGGGCGGCAGGGATGGTAATAATTTGGACAAGGCCCCAAAGACAACATGCCAACAGTAGGACAACAAACATTAAAAGTAGTAATAGTCACAGGGTCCAAAATCTGGGTTTGGATGAGAAAACGGAAAGAAATATTATATATATATTACATTATATATATAAATATATAATGTAATATATATGATGCTGCCAAACGACTTCCAAATACATAGTGTGAAAAATAAAAGTAAAAAATTTTAAACGCCCAACTTAGGTGAGGCAGAGGATGAGGAAGAATGCTTTGAGGAGTTTTTCTGCTAATAGTATATAATTCTGATGTATGTACTTTATCCAATTATAACCAAGTTCCAATTATTTGCTTATACAGATAATGAATCACCAATGTTGTTGACTCTGTACTACCTTAGCTACTCCCCCAAGTGATGGAAGTTTCAGCAGATGGTCCATCTCTATTTTTCTGGTAAAACATTTGTTGTGAAAGAAATATAAAGTTGAGAAGCCAAATGAAATTTCTGAATTGGCTTTAAAACGAAATATCCTTTCTTCCTCTGGCTCCAGTATCAGAAAGAGTTGAGAGGTAGCTATGTTAAGTATTCATTAAAGAAGCACCCTTGAAGCAACACAATTTAAAAGGTGATTTTTCAGCAATTAGAAATTGCTTTTGCAGATCTACTTTGCAAACAGTTTCAAAGCACTTTCAGTCGTGGTTAATTCCAATATTTAACAAAGTTGAATTTTTTTTACCTACAAACTCACAATCATCAGAAATGTAGCATCAGAACTAGACATAAACGGGAGAAGAAGATCTGATGTGAGCAGCACAATGTAAATGTGAACAGTACTCTCTCACTTAAGAAAGCAGATGCACAAAATTAAAAATCAAAGCTCCCATATCAGAAATTTTAGGAATTAAAATTCCTATGCAATCAAAACATTTGTAACTAAAAAGAAAAACCCACAACTTGTGAAAAAAGATTTTGATAAAGATATTTGTGGGTTAGATCCGTATCTGTTGCTTAGTTATCATTAGAAAAGTTAAACTGCTTTCCTAGGTTATTGACTAATTAATCTACAAAATTATTTTATAACATACAAAATTTGGTTTTAAATCACCAATTGTAGCATTTTTCAAAATTAGTATCCTATGTGAATACAAAATGTACTAAATGCTCAAGTGTGAAAATCTGTTACTATGGAAATAAGAATCTTGGTGAATTCTGGAATATGTAATTTGATATTTTTTTTGCATGAAAATAATATAATCTGTTTCTCAATCCAGTGGTTTAGATATTTTCATCTTTGTGAAAAACAAAGGAAGTTAGGATTATTCTGCTAAGAAATCAGAGAACCTTGTAATCACTAAACCAATCTGTGGTTTTTAAAAAGAAAACTATATTAAGCATTGTATGCAATAAAAAATAATTGTTGTTTGCAATATTTTACGTATCCTTAACCACAAGTCATTTGCACAGGGAATAAAGAGGAAGGTCCAGACCTGAGCGTTTGCTGTCATTATTTCTTACAGACATCCCAGCATTGGTTTTTTCAGAATAATCTGAAAATAACTTGGAAATACTGTTTCACAGAGAGTTAAACAAAGCACAGAAACATACTTCTCAAAAAGAATTAAAGCTATAATGTGACCCAGAGTATGCTTGACTTGCCAAAAGTCCTATAACTAATAAATACTAACTGAACCCAAATCATTCAATTCTAAGTCCCAAGTACTTTTGGAATTTTCCAAAGAGAGAGGGGCCAACCACAGGTAGAGGCGGGTTGCAGAGCTCTAACCCTGGCTCTGCTACTAACTTTCCTGGACTTTTTCAAGTCATTAAACTTCTCTGTGCCTTCGTTTCCTCTACTTCATGGGGATATTTTGAAGAGAAATATAAGCCAACAGTTGAACTCTGGCAGAAAAGCACTGTATGTACTTCAGTATGTCAATAATTTCTTGTTCCCACCACAAGTTTCAATTGACACTAATATCTTTTCTCTGGTTTTAGTTTTAAGCTTAAAATAACACTCTGTGTGTGTGTGTATGTGTGTGTGCGCCAGTGCTATCTTTCAACATGGCTGGCATTCTAACAAGATCCTCTGCTCAAACTTTTAAAACGCATGAAAAGTATCATAACATTATAATTCTTAGCATCACCAAAGCCTCACAACCCAAAGCTGTGCAGAACATTTTAGAAATTCACAACAAAATTTTCCACCACATTACTCTCAACTTGAAAAAACGCAATTCAAAACTCATATACTACTCAGCTGCCCCCCATGAAGTTTAACACTACCAGCAGAAAATTATAAAAATTATACTGCTTTTAAAAATTATAAAAGAATAGTTCCAATTACAAATTATAAACTTAGCATACATTTTAAAAAATGAAGATCACCAATATTCCTAAAATAATGGAAATATGTAATGATCAATATGCTAGTAATTCAGGCATTTGCAATGTCTTCTATTTTGTCAACAGATATAGAATCCAGCCACTTTATATACTGAAGTCTAAAAAATTCTCAATATTGAGAATACAAAAGTATTTATAGGTAAGTTAACAGAAATTTCATTTTAAAGTAATACTTTAAGTTAAATACTTATACCATTGTTTTCATTCTTTCAACAGCATATCTAAACATTATTTAGCTTTATAACTTATGAAGACATGTAACTAACTTCCTTTTTCCTTTACCAATATATTTACCCAATAACATGAGCACATAGCTACATATAATACCTAGGGAAGGCACTTCATTAAAAATGCCCAAGTTAAAAACAGAAATAGCCAGTTTAAATAAAATATTATGGCAAATGGTCAGTATATACCTACTGAATACAAAGGTTACCAAAGGTGAAGACTGAGTAGTAATCTCGTAATGCATATGATTAAATCTTTACACACTGAGACTATGCTAATAGCAATGGAATTTTAAAAAAATATTTTAGGGTATAACCACCTTACATCAATCTGATTAATATTTTGAATGAATGAATACTGCACTTTTAACAGTGTTTAACACCTTGAGTTGTTCACGACCATTTGGAATACACAGAGAAGATGACTTGAATACAAACAAACTAGTTGAAATTCAATGTGGTTCACAGTAAAGATGCAGTGGCTTTCTATTTGTAGAACAAAGACTCTCAATCAAAAACATATATACAACTAAAATATTCTCAAGTGCAATTATCCAGGCTTTAAAAAGAATATATACTTTTTACTATGTAATTTTTTCTTGCTCCCCCTCCACCTCCCTGCATTTTTTAATGTTTGGCATAAGTGAACAACAAACCAGAATAGAAAACACATTTTTAAAAGACTAATGTACTCCTATTCTATTTAAGAGCAACATACAACCGCTTATAAATATAGCCTTTTTAAAAAGCACCCTTATATAAAACAGTGAGGGGAAAAATCCCTGCTATACATATGAAGCACAGTTTAAGCCCAATACAACTGACCAATCAAAATTAGTGAATGCACTGCATCTCTCTGCAGTGGAGAGAAGCCACAAGGTAGGCTGTCATTCTGCAAAAGCTGCCCAGAACAGACTTTCCTCTGAAAAGCAGTGCCGTTCCTTTTTCGAAAGACTGAATCTAAACGTTGTCTCTGGAGACAAGAAGCCTTCAGTATGTTAAATTACTTTCATTACGTATTTTCAAATTCTTATTGATTGCCCAGTAGGAAGAGTGAGAGACTGCAGCAGGCTCTAAGCAGCACTCCAGGTTCCATACATTAGCAGGACTGCTGAAACAATGGCACAGTACAGACACATATTTTCATTAAGGTCTTTTCCGAAGAGATGTTTATGACCCTCTTCCCCCGGTCCTCTACTAACAAGTGAACAAAATGAATCAATCAAAACTGGAAACGCTTCAACTACATCAAGAATTTATCAAATCTTTAGCGGAGGTAAGATGTGTTCCTTATTATAGTATACAGATGCTTTTGAACCTGTATAGTGGGGTAAAATTACTTTGAAAAATTTCAGCCTAAATTTTAAGAGTTTATTTGCTTAATTCTACCTATTGCTAAACATGTGGGGTTTTTTAGATCTATTTCTTTTAAGTCATGATATACTTTAAATTTAATTTTTTAGGCTGTGATGTTAAATACAAAGAATATTCTTTGTGGCTTCACTATGAAGACATCAGCTTTTAAGTCACTTTGGACATACTAAATATTCTTAATGTCATCAGCACAGTTTTTCTCAAGTGTTGAAAAAATGCTTATATTTCTTAAAAGAACCAGGTTTATAATTTAGCTATTATTTATTACTCAATTTTAGGTTAAGTTTATTACCGTGCATGTTCATTGAAAATTACTTAATTTGCAGTTACATTTTGCATTACCCTCTACATTTCAAGTACATGAACATCTATGGAAATTCACATCTTATCATGGAATCTGTTTTAATCAGCTGAAATTCAAACCATGTGCTAATAAGCAAGCTACAATATTTTACAGCAGGAAATATTGCTAAATTTATTTAAAGAGGGCATGACACTATGTTTAGTGTATGCTAATTGCTCATAATCTCTGAAAATACAGGCTAGCTTCTAAAATGAGAGCAGAAATTAGTTTAAAAAACGCAGCTTTTCTTTCAGGATTCTATTTGTAATGTTAACTCTTTATTAAATAACATAATATTTACAATTTTTGTTGGGAAAGAGAATATTTTATTTAAAGAAACCCTTAAATTTATACATAAGCTGTGGTTCTAATAGTACAGTTTGCTTGCTGTGCATGGTGTTAAAATAAACAAAAGTAACTTTCGATTAATTGGAAATTATTAGGAACCCTATTCTTAACCATTTTTTTCTTTTTCACAAGGGCCCACAGCAGCTAATTCAGTATTTACAACTGACAATGTGAAGAATGCATCTGAGCAAGCATCTCCCCAGCCGTCTGAACCACAAACTGCAGGATATTCTTGTAACACATGATTTTAAGACACTAAGGAGTTAAAACCAGAGAATACAGTCTACATTACCACTGGGATATAACACATCGACAGTAATCATCCTAAGAGATGCTATATAAAATAGCCACAAAAAGAAGAACAATATAACTGTAAAAGCCTGAATACAAAATGGTGAGCATTTCTAATGGGGGAGTTGATACTTTAACACACCAGAATCGTGGAGCTACTGATTCTTGAAGAAACAATGAAACAAGGACTGCCAAAAGGGGAATGCCAAACGTATCAGCAAGCTAAATGAAGCTTTAGCAAGTATTTTCTGCACTAAATAATCAGATATTCATACCAATTGATATTACTAAAGGATTTTTCCATCTGAGTATTATGACCAATTATGTATCCTGTTCTAATGAAAACAAACCAGATTAAACAGCAGATGGTTTTTATCAAAAGAACGTGAACCGGACTTACAATATAAAGCAAGTTATGTGATCAAGAAATCATTTCAAAATAATGAGGACTGCTATAGAAACAGACTTACATTTGTAACAAAAGGATGTCTAAACACATTTTAGAAGCTAGAAACCTTATGTTGCCTTTTTGTTTTCACATGTTCTGGAAAATAAAGAGACACCATCATATATTCCCTCAAAGGGAAACGATTCCTATCATTTGCGGAAGTTTCTCTCGGTTGTGACTTTTTAAGGCAAAACAAACACAAATACTTTGTACTGGTCTTTAGAAATCCATCAGCCAACTAAATCTCACAATTCATACAGTTGAAGTATTGGAGAGAAATTGAAAGAATTCCTACAGGACATGAAATAAAACACAGCTACTTCACTGTTGTCAGGTAAAAATTCATGTCAAAATTTGTCAATGACATCATGTATCAGTTTGTGAAAAACTAGAGTAAGCCAAAAGGCCCATAAGGCACAGCAAACAGGTAGGTCAGAAGATGCATGCCCCCCCCACACTGCTTAACACTTATGAAAGAAAAGGATCCAGCTCTAGAGGAGAGGCATTTTTCTTAATTATCGTCTCACTTGACATTTCTGCTTTATTTAATTATAAACCTAACCGATGTGATAAAGACCTGAGGTTTTATCTGTCAGTTCAGCAAATCTGGCACATTGAAAATTTTGCATTTTTATAGGATTTCAATCTTAGATAAGACCTTCACTTACTCGAGTATATGCCTGTAGTAATATTTTATGCCAAGTTCAAAAGACATTAATAATGTTATCATTTGTGTTTCTGAACTATTACCCTTAAAATAATATGCATAAATAAAATTGTATTCTAAAACTTGTCAAAGATTACATCAAGTGATAGGTTAACATGAACTCTGAAAATTACTAGCTTTTATAATTTATGTTTGATTATGACTTTGCAGTCAAAATGCTGTACTTGAAATGTGAAATATAGTTGGTTGTATGATTTTTTTATTTTAACTGAATATACTGATTACTGACATTTTAGCCCAGAAAATCAGACATTATTTTTATAAATTACTCTAAGCCTCTCTATATTAAAATATAGATTTGCATGAATTAGTAAGAGTTTTTTTTTTTTTAATTTTCCTCAGATTTATATACACTGGGTGATTTATACAAAAGGTTTCACAAGGAATGTGTAACTTTAAGATTCCTCAGAAAATGGGCTTCAGATACTCCTTTTCCCTAAAATTTCATTTTTTACAAAAAATTGTTTAATCAAATAAAACAAACTGATATATTATTTCAAATCACTTCAAAAATGGCTATTTCTTAATGATACTAAATTTCAATTTTCTCCTTCCATAAGCTATGAGAGGGTGTGGTCACAAAATAAATCATTCATAGGAGTGATCAGTGCTCTTTTACCAAGCCATTACTTTAACAGAATGTCTTTTTCTTCTAGTTTTTATAACATAAGTTTGCTCATTTTAAAGTTCACTGAGCATTTTCACTGCAAAATATGAAATATTTATCATTTGTCTACTTCTGTGGGAAATAACTCCAAATATCCCCAAGCACACTGTTGACTTCTAAATATGAATTTGATCAAGAACATGGACAAAATGATTTAAAACAAACTAATGCTCTCTGCTATTTATCAATCTAAATGATCCCCTGTCCTGTTCATTTGAAATCTCAGGGGAATAATTACACCTACACTAATTATGCTAGAACAAATTAAAATAGCATTTATTTCCCACCTACTCACAACAATTTAAAACGAAATCTTAAAACACTGGGCTAAAATTAGTTTTGCATGGTAGTTTTACTATACAAAAAATATACTGTATCTCAAAAAATAAGCTTGAAAAAGCCAGATGAAGAAAGCCTTTTTAGTATATTAAATAATTCTGAACTATATAGGAGTAATGCCTATATAGTTATCTTCAATGGGAGAAGCTAATTTCCTCTGACATCAAAACAATGCAAGCTTGATGTTTTCTAATTCTACATTTTCCATTAATAGTTCACAAACTTAAAAATTAACTAAGTACACAACTAAAAGATTTTTGCAAAGAACACATGTTTTATACGTCATTTAAATTGCCAAATATCAAATAGTTTATTCTATTTCACTTTCTAGGGAAAAAACCAACTGCTCCAAAAGAATGTGTTTTTCTCCCATTCTGGAAATCAACATGCAGTCTGAATCTAACATTACAGTGCGAGATGACATTGATGACATCAACACCAATATGTACCAACCACTATCATATCCATTAAGCTTTCAAGTGTCTCTCACCGGATTTCTCATGTTAGAAATTGTGTTGGGACTTGGCAGCAACCTCACCGTATTGGTACTTTACTGCATGAAATCCAACTTAATCAACTCTGTCAGTAACATTATTACAATGAATCTTCACGTCCTTGATGTAATAATTTGTGTGGGATGCATTCCTCTAACTATAGTTATCCTTCTGCTTTCACTGGAGAGTAACACTGCTCTCATCTGCTGTTTCCATGAGGCCTGTGTATCTTTTGCAAGTGTCTCAACAGCAATCAACGTCTTTGCTATCACTTTGGACAGATATGACATCTCTGTAAAACCTGCAAACCGAATTCTGACAATGGGCAGAGCTGTAATGTTAATGATATCCATTTGGATTTTTTCATTTTTCTCTTTCCTCATTCCCTTTATTGAGGTAAATTTTTTCAGTCTTCAAAGTGGTAATACATGGGAGAACAAGACACTTTTGTGTGTCAGTACAAATGAATACTACACTGAACTGGGAATGTATTATCATCTGCTAGTACAGATCCCAATATTCTTTTTCACTGTCATAGTAATGTTAATCACATACTCCAAAATACTTCAGGCTCTTAATATTCGAATAGGCACAAGATTTTCAACAGGGCAGAAGAAGAAAGCAAGAAAGAAAAAGACAATTTCTCTAACCACGCAACATGAGACTACAGACATGTCACAAAGCAGTGGTGGGAGAAACGTAGTCTTTGGCGTAAGAACTTCAGTCTCTGTAATAATTGCCCTCCGGCGAGCTGTGAAACGACACCGTGAACGACGAGAAAGGCAAAAAAGAGTCTTCAGAATGTCTTTATTGATTATTTCTACATTTCTTCTCTGCTGGACACCAATTTCTGTTTTAAATACCACCATTTTATGTTTAGGCCCAAGTGACCTCTTAGTAAAATTAAGGTTGTGTTTTCTAGTCATGGGTTATGGGACAACTATATTTCACCCTCTATTATATGCATTCACTAGACAAAAATTTCAAAAGGTCTTGAAAAGTAAAATGAAAAAACGAGTTGTTTCCATAGTGGAAGCTGATCCAATGCCTAATAATGCTGTAATACACAACTCTTGGATAGATCCTAAAAGAAACAGAAAAATTACCTTTGAAGATAGTGAAATAAGAGAAAAATGTTTAGTACCTCAGGTTGTCACAGACTAGGAAAAGGTCTAAGTTTCACCCAAACTCACCTTCAAAAGTTTTAAATTTAAATTGTAAAAAATAAAATTACTGCCAAATATGAGAAAAAACATTTTAAGTATTGGTTATGTTGTAAATTTTCAATGTAAATGTCAAGATTAGATTAGGTCATATATATTCAATTTCTTCATTACTTAATGTATTTGTTGCATGGCAGTTTGTTAAAGTTAATATCATATGTATATTTTGTCAATATTATGTCCATCAGAAGATATTCATGTAAGTCATATTTTCTAAAGAATAAATACATAGCCTTAAAACAGTGTATAACTTTAAAATGTAACTGACACAGTTATCCTTGCTTTTGATTTTTTTATAAAGTGTATTGTTTCTAAGCCACAAACTATGGATATATTTATATGATGACAACTGGAATAGCATTTTGACAGGAACCAAAATTACGGGCTCCAAACAATCAAAACAGTCTAGGATTTTCTGTACCACTATATTACGTTTTCTAGCATAGTCTAATTGCTATAATATTTGATGCATCAGAAATAGTGAACTATGTATGAATCTTTATCCTTTTTGAATGTAGAAAACTGTAGGATTTATCAGGATTTTAAAATTCAGGAACCAAAAGAACAAACAACTCTGTATATGCACACCAAGATAAGGCAACTTTGAAATTCTAGTTTATTATGAAAAAGAGATTGATTTTCTAAGATCAAGGGCACTTTGCCTATAATATACAAATGAACTGACAATAAAAGGAGGGAAGAGAACTAAAGCACCAGCCTCTTTCTTCCCTCCTCACTTTGCTTGAGTCTAAACCAAAGGCTCTGGGTTAACACTGTAAACTGGTACAAACCAGTGCATTAAAATAAACTGACTTGCTAACTTTATTTAAGCTGGACTTTTTGTATAACAGAAGTTAACTATTAAAATCTGAATACAAGGAAGAAAATAAAGACTTTACATCACTGTAGAAAAGCTTAACAAAGCCAACTATTTCTAGCCAAACACATATCTAAAATGCACAGCAACTTTAGGGAAATACAGTTTGCACAATGCTCCTGCACTATCATAATAGCTTCCAAATGTTTCAAAACATAGTTCTACTTCCACTCTGAAAATCATTAAAATGGCAATAAATCTTATCAATTACTTTACACCACTTAATTTAAGCATTTTGTGTCCAATCCTCAATTCATGTTCAAAAACTATGAAATTACTAATCCTAACTATAGATATCACGTTTGAGAATTTCATACCAAATATTTTCCTATTGTTACAATCTAGTAATCTATCAATGAGTGCTAATTATCACTGATTCAGAAAAATAGCAATAAGTTATTTAAAGTAGGCAAATACTACCTTATAATTGGTTAGCTGGACAATTTTTTTCTTTTTTTAATACTATATTCACTAAATCAAGTAGCAACTCCTTTTTAAGTAAAAAAAATTTTTATGTCTAATAATTCAATAATATAACACTTTTACATAAATAAATGAGATTCATCCAATCTAGTTTACCGAATACACTAATCCTTGGGGAAAGGAGCACCACGCAATAGCTTGAATTCACTGAGGTTACATGGCAAATTTAATACTGGTTTATTTCTGATAACAATATTAACATAAGATCAAATCTTGGCAAAGGCACAGTTTCCTTCTGTCTTACTTTCCACTCTTTTATGGAATTAAAGGAATGCTTCAATCTGACAAAATGTGCCATAAGCAAGTAAGACATTCTTTGAAATCCTGAAGAGAAATTAAGACTTCATAAAGATATTAAAAAATTTTTCATTCAATAAATATATTTGGCACAAAATATCTCCTAACATATTCATTAAATTTTTTTTAAAAACTAATTTTTACTTGAACTCCTGAGCATGAATTAAAATTTTAATATTTAGTTTTATAACCTAATAAAAATTAGACTATTTTTAGAGTTTTCATATTAAGAGAAAACCTTTTGTGTTTTAAATATTTTTAATCTTCAAGTTTATAAAGCATGCCAAAGAACTCAGTTAAAAAAGTTTTCTAATATATTTGCCTATAACTGTTTTCATGTCCTCTTCTTCTCTGTAATAAGAAATCTAGCAAAATAAGAAATAAAAGGCAAGTATTGTAATGTTGCCCTCTAAACTGTTATTATTTCTACAGTTGACACTGGAACAGACAATTAACAAACATTTTTGCCTACCTGTAATGATCTTTCATACAAAAATGCACCCACTGATTTGCAACAAAGAAAATTCCTAGAGAACTTCTAACAGCTTTTTAACAAGTTAAATAGTATATAATATGTAAACCAGAATAATATTTATGTTAAAAGTTCAGCTTTTAAAAACAAGTCACAAATGTTTGCAATTACTGACTTCAGCTTAAACGAGAGAATGAGAAGCTCAGACAAGTTTTCTTTATTAAGTGCTTGTTCTACGAAAAGGTAAAATATTTTTTTTCCTCATGATGACCCCCACCATAACATGTAAATTTTTCACTTTATTTCAAATAATTTTACAAAAAAAGGATTAATGCCAATTTTTCACGTTAGAATGAAAATTTTATATGCAAAGGTACTAGAGACAGTAAACTCAATATGAAATCCTTCTTAAAATTTTATTTTTCTACCCATATGCCACAAATCACAGATGTAGCTATCAATTTCTACAGAGTTAACTGGGTTAAATCTTCAAAACTATAGAAATAAAAACTATTATTTTAAAAACTAACCAAAGATGAACTCAGCAAGTTATGGAACTGTTATTTTACCTTTTGTTTTATTTGCTAATTTAAGGAAGTTATGATTCTACCAACTAGTACGCAACAGACGACAGGTTCAACCTACCATGAAAATTACATTATTTACAATTACCCTTTCAAAATAATTCACTCATAATTCTGTACTTCTCACTTATAGCAAGTCAATTTTCAAGTATGTGTCTATTTTTTATCCCCCAAATAAAATTATAGCAGAATCTCAGTTCTCTGGGCATTAAAAATCAAACTCCTCATTTAACTGAGATTAGACTTAAAGTATAAGGAAACAGGTGCTTAGTAGGGCTTCATTCAACATAGTACTTTCAAGACTACTTTCCAAATTTAAAGAAACTTTTGACTTTACATTAATTAAGCTTTGGCATTCAATTAACATTTGAATTCTTACAATGTAGAAAGCATTATGGCAGATACTCATATGGCAGATACTCATGGGGAACAGTCATTACCCTCAGAGCTTGAAATCTGGAATCAAGGTATTAAAAAGTATGGCAATATCTATTAAGAAAAAGGCAGAATGTGGTAAACGCTATAAAAAAAGTAAAAAGTTCTTAATAGACTTAAGAAGAAAGGAATTATGTTGTATTTAAGAGCAATATAAACAAAAGCATTGCTGAGGAAAGCTACTGAAGCATATTCTGGAAAGTAAATTGTAGTCTTTAGAAGAAAAGGAATCCAGTAGTGAGAAGCTGATCCGGTAAGTAAAAAACTGGGGCCAAAAGACAGAAGGCCATAAATGCCAGCAGAGAAATCTGAGCAGGGGATAATACAAGGAGAAACGAGCTACAAAAAAAAAAAATAATAATAAAACAGCAATACATAGAAAGAGTTGACTGGGTAAGGCACAGACAATGGGAAGCTGAGAAACCAAACTGTTGATTGGGTAAGACACAGAATATGGGAAGCTGTTGCCATCACTTTGATAGGTAATAAAAGGCTTGGCAAAAAATGTTGGCAGTAGGTCTGCAAAGGAGCATAGAGACATAACAGGCAATGTGAAGGCAGAATCAATAGGGTGAGTCCACTGACCAGAAAGACAACCGGGGTAAGAGACTGAAGAACTAAAAATGAGGATTACCCTCAAGGATGGAAGAACTTTTTAATTATGCTTTGTACAAAGCACGTGGATACCAATTGCAAAAACAAAAAGAATTCCTGGCAAAGCAGAAAATTCAATTAAGTAAAATACATAACATGATTCAAGAATGTTCTAGTTATTAAAAATAATTCAAAATGAAACTTTCAAATTGATGTTTTAAATTATCTACTTTATATTTTGCATACAGGTTTATTCAGTTGTCCACTGAACATATATTTTCTTCTTCAGTAAATTTTTTACTTACAAAAAATTATAAACACTTAATGGAAAAATGCCAAGGTATATAAAGTAAAAAATATAAATATCATCCTTTGCTTTTTTTTTCCTAATAAGTTATTATGAATATCCATCCAAATCATTATATACATATCTCCTTCATTCTTTAATGGCTGCATAAAAATAGTTTTTAAAAATTAAAAAACATACAGAAGTATTTCTAAAAAATAATATCGATAAAATAACAAATACTTAAACTTTTTTCTATTATAAGTAAATAGCTTCAGGCTACATTTCAAGATCACTGAAAAAGGTAAGAAAGGTAACTTGGCAAATTTTGAAAAAGTTACTTTTCTAAATGGAAGGAAGAAGCAAGGGGAAAACCACAAGATAATGTATTTCTTTCCTTCTTTTCCACTAAATAATACGAGAAATAAAAAAACTAAAGGAAACTTTAGGCACCTATTTTCTTCACAGTTCAGATGGACATTTGTATGTACTCCTGAATATAAGCCTCCCATGGGACAGCAGTGAACTCGAAGAAGTGAAACATGAGATGACTAATAATAAATGTTAGGGAAAAAAGATTTAGATCATATTATAAAAGAGAAAAATAAGGAGGTAATTAAACATAGGGAGGGCAGGAAAAAGATCTAAAATAATCAGAGATGCTCAGCTCTTAGAGGAATACAAAGAGAACACAGAATTGTGGGTTAGAGTTCACAGAAGGAAACTAAAGACTTTTTCTAAAAAGCATTCAAAACAATGAAAGGAATTTTTCTGAAAAGAAACCCAAGTTTGGTAGACTGGACAGATTAATAATATAATAACATATATTGCATCATAAGAAGTAGAATAAATATTAGAATATTACAATTCACCAAAGTTTGGAACAGAATGGTATAGAGATGTAAAAATAAATGAGAAATTCGGCTTATTACTAATACGAAAGCTATTACTCTTTTAAAGAATATTCATTTTTGCAGGAGAAGAAGAGATCAGCAAACCTCTTCTTGCTCATGATAAAATAGCATGTGAAATAACCCTAAGTATCTCTCCCCTCCATTCACACATTGTTTATAGACCTCAATAAACTGTATCCATGGCTTTCAAGCATGACAGCTTTGTACTTCCACCAGCAAGTGGTAAAAACTGCTGTCATTCCTGTCACTGCCACCAATATCAACTCTCTACCACTATCAAACCCTGAAGCATCAAGTAAGATAAAGGAGGAGAGCTGAGCCTGTTTGGAAATGAGGTCACTTTCCTCACTCTGCTTCCATGAAAGCGATATGTCGTATATTTCTGAGAGGCATTAAGCAAGGCAGCCTACCAAAGCACATCCAAAAATTTTTCAGATTGAAGAGAAAAAGGAGCAAGAAAAGAGAGTAAGGCTATGGGAAATCACTTTCCAATCAGACAGCTATAGATATGCAATACTAATAACAGATGCAAAATGAACAAATTTTAATTTAACATAAAATTTTGTAACTGTTAATGCTAACAAATGAGAGTTCTGGCCATATTACATGTAGACTGTAGGAATGAAAAATATATGGGTTTGGTATATATATCATATATATCATACATGTATATGATGATCTTATATGTATATGTGTATACACATACATATATCAGCCATTCATATTACTCATAATCACATATGTCACATAATGGATACTGGATACACTGTATATTGATTGGATAGAGAAGACAGATATACATTTCACTGTAATATTGTTAATGCCTTAGGACAGGATGAAATGTAAAACATCAAATTTATAGTCTACACTTTAACAGTTTTCTTCCCAATTCTTAAAAAACTGCAGCCTTTCTTTTGCTACTGAATTTTTTCCAACTACCGCTTCTACCACTTGCTAGCAACCTGTAGCTACCTAACTTTATAAAACTGTCTTTAATCCACACAACACAATAATAGCCTGTAATACTAATGTAAGCTTTGATAAAGCTTCCCCAAAAAAGTGTCTGATACATACTAACTGATAAGTAAACATGAAATTGAAAATGAACAATTTTTAAACTTCTTACTCTACTGTATCTTGTCTAGGAGAGTGTTTCTCAAAATGAACCCCATCTAAATCAGAATCCTCTAGGGTGCTTGCTTGAAATGCCAATTTCTGGGCCCCACTTTAGACTTAATGAATCGGAATCTCTGTGGTTGAAGCTCTGAATAATATGTTTTAATAAGTACTCTCGGATGACCTGCGTCCTAAAGCTTAAGAACCATTCCTGTATATACTGGAAGACACAAGGCACTTTGATACCTAGGTAACAGACATTTAAGGAACTAATAAATGAACACATAGAAGCGCCTCTGAATTCAATTCAGGCCATACTGCCTTCTTAAAAAAAATATTTTTAACCATTCTTCATTTTAGCTAATAAAATTTTAGATAGACGGGATTATATACAATACAATCCAGCAGGACATCTGATTCATAAGGACTAAAATTTTTTTTTTTTTAAAGATTTTATTTT